ATATAGATATAGATAGATAGATAGATAGATAGATAGATAGATAGATATTAGCATAGATATCCAGCTACTTTCTCTTAGTTAAATGAGAAGAAAGATTTGTGCTAATAGTGTTTGGACAAGATGTCATGTCTGCATCTTGTATTATGAATAACAACTATGAAGACAATATGCCATGTATTAATTATTGTAACTGTCCTACTAACCTATTTTAAAACTGTCTCACTGCTACTTCTTTCTCAGTAAAATTAATATATAGGCGCTGGGTAGATGGCTCAGAGGAATAAGAGCTTCCTTGGCAAGCACAAAGGTCTGAGTTCAATCCCTGGCTCCCCCCCCCAAAAAAAAAATATATATATGTACATCAGATTGTGTGTGACATATACCTAGAATTTTGTCAAATGATAAAGACACTGGGTAGATAAGAATTCATTCACCCTCATTTGGTCTTTGTAACTCACCATGTGGAGGTTGCCTTTAACCACAGTGTATTGTTATGTCTTTATTTTGCTCAAGTTAAAGTTCCTCCAGCAGACATTGTCGATAGTGTTCTTGCACAGGATTTTGAGCAAGCCCTGGCTTGGGCTAAATCCCAGCATCTAGAAGCTGTTTTCCCTCGCATCATGGAAACCCCGCCCCGACTCCCCTTCAGACCTAAACCATGATAAATCTTTACTTAATGACATTAGACGTTCTGTAAAACAAGATCTCTTAGGTAAGGAACAATTCCTTTGACTTTTAGGTTCAGGCCAAGATAGTAATAAAAGGATAAAGATAAATTTAGAAGAGTCATGTCCTTATGTCCTTGCAATAATATATCATAAAACTTCTGTATAATTGCATTTATCCCCAAATCAAACTTAGTATGTAATATCTTACGTTGATGATGGTTGTAATAAAGAGTTGGGTTCATGTGATGTTGTGGCATAGGATTATGGGATGAAAGATATTCAGGGGATCTTATTAATAAGACTAATGCTCATAAGTGGCAAAACATAAATATTGCAGGAAATAATATAATAGGACAGTTCTAACGTTCAGTTAAGAATTAAATAACATACTTGGTAAGTAAGTGATGCTAAACTGTTTAAAATCTTACCAGCTGCTTTTTGGACTGATTTTCATCAAAATTACTGTACTAAAATGTTTTCATTTGCTGTACAGACTCAAATAGCAAACCTCAATTTTAAAATCGGCTCTTATTTGCAAAAAAATGCTTTGACATAGTGCATTTGTTCTGCCTGGGCAGCAATAAAGGATTGTGGCATCATTTTGAGGAAGGTTGTTTGACAGGGCCTGTTTATTTATTTGGGGTAATGTGAACTGCATTCAGAAAATGCCATATTTTGTTTCATGATTGTATACATTCTCTCCCATTGCTCCCAGGCAAGGCTTGTAAGCAGAGAAGACATGGATTTAGACCTTTTTTCCATGACCAGTGGAAGCGATTTGTCTGTGAATAGAGAAAAAAAGAGTCAGGCACACAGACACTCAGCGGGATCTTCAAGTAAGTTGTGGTTTCCTTCAGAATTAATTTAGAAATCACAAATGAATTGATGGAACCTAATGCCAACAAGAATTCTTTTACGCATGGGGATAGGATGCCAGCAACTGGAGCTGACCCCAAAAATGTACATGTGAATTTTTCTTGCTTTAAATGTCTTCTTTGGTATAAACAAAATTAAATTATTTTGAGAATTAACAGCATCAGTTTTTATTTAATTATATTCTATGGTTTAGTGCCCCCACCCTGTGGATCATATGAAGTTCTTTGATCCTTTATTTCTAAAAGAAATTTTAGAATAATTTCAAAATGTTGAATTTACATAGACAAATGATTGGTTTTGGTCTTTTATCATTGATAGATATTGTATGTAATGTAATTTTCAAAGGAATTTTAAAGGAAATGTAGTAGATGGTACAATGTCAAAAAAAATGGTACAAAAATCATTTTCACTGGCTCCATTACAGTTACGCTTAGCAATGAGGATATTATATTCATGAACCTGCCACATACACCTATAACTTTTCATTTATAGAACAGGTAGCTGTATGTTTCAACAAATTTTATTTCAACAAAATTTCATTGCAGTTATGAACAATGAAAAAATCTAAAATATCTGCATGTCGTGGTATTTCAGTTGACTACAACCATGTTTTTGGTTTATACACTAGAGGTTGCAAAATACCTCCCAGGATGTTATAGAACATTACTATAATGTTTTTATAAATTTTGCAAATTTCTCAAAGTACCATAAATCTCAAAAGTCATCACATAAATTTCTACCTCATTAAAATTACTCAGTGATTCATGAAAAGGTTTTATTACTCACTAATGTTATAGTCGCATATACACAAAATCAGTGCTTTACCAAAGTGAAAATTTTAGTGATCCATAGAACTTTCCGGATAAATCAAGACGTCAAAATTATTGTCTGTGTTACATTTCATACACATACCCAGGCTTTATTAAGTTACAGTCATTTAAGTTCATTAAGATATGCAAATTCAGCATAAATTTTAATTAGCTTTCTTGACATAATAATTTTAATATGGCTAATTTTAAAGTATTTTCTATGTCTTAAAGTACTAAGTACTTAAATTTTCCTTATGTAATTATAGAATCTAGTCATTGAAAGGTTGATCTTTTGGTTAACAAAGAAATATTTTAAGTTTCTTCACTTAAATAAAATTATTGATGCAATGAAATTTCTAAGTTATTGTTATAATGTGAAAATTACTTCAATTTTTCACATTTCAGAAGGAATCAGCTTGTGTCACATATACTAGTAAATAATCCTGTTTTATGAGTATTATAAACTCATATATTTATGTTCTCAGAATCATAGGTATTATTTTTATATAAATAAAAAAACAAAAATTCCCTTATCATAGAGTATCAAAATATGTGTCCATAACATATCACTGATATGTTAAATCATAAATAGTTCAATAAATCAGCAACTCTCCTGAAATATACTTCCTCTTTCACTTGGATTACATTGAGTCACCGGTTTTAGAGAACTTAAGATCATTAGAACTCATTTCTTAGCACAATAAGAAATTGAAGTAATGATTTTTCCCTGTATTTAATTGTACTTGTCACTACTGACTATTGAAAAAACACACATTTCTATGTATAGGAAGTGATCATTTAAAATAGACCAGTTTTGCACCAATGAGGCAGCTTAGCAGTCTCAAGTACCTGCTTGGGCAAGCTTAGGCAGGTGCAGGGGACTGTGGTTCAATCACCAGCACTACATGCTGTACCAGCCCCGCCCTCAGGGTGGGCTGAACCAGCAACATAATAATAAAATAAAATAAAATAAGCCAACATAAAAAAACAAAAAAACGCTGCATTAAACAAGAAAAGTATTATGAATAAAATGCTACTTAATTATGATGATTACTAACCTGTGACATCAGCACTATACAGTACTAATGAAGTATGAGCCTTGGGATCAGTCATAACATGTGTTTTTCTTTTTGGTATCAGTCCTCCAGCTCAGGACCTTGAACTTGCCAGCCAGGCGCTGTGCCCCTGTATTTCTTAAAATGGATAATAGTAGAAATATCTGAGTTGTAGAGGTACTAGGATCAAATGTAGAACATTTAGAATGACAGCTAGAACAAAAGAAGTGATACTAAGTGTTTTTTATAATCATCACCTAGACATAGCTATAAAAATGAATCAACTCATTTAAGATATTGATGTCCCTAGTATGTAGGCACATTGTGTAACTGGTTTTGTTTATAAGAAACCTATGTTTGTATTTTGCTCAACCAAAATACTTGGCTTACCCTATTATTGTATGGAAATCTTTTAACCATTAGTTTTTGGATCTTAGACCTCCCTGGCCCTGGGCCAACTACTTTGATACTATGAAAGCTCTTTTTCCTCCAGCTTTTTCTGTCTTAAAACTTGTCACCTTGTTAAACTTAAACATTTCTCCTTGCTTTGCATGCCAAATGTCCAGAGTACTTTATGGGTAGTGGCTGTAAAACTCTCTTTGAGTCTTTGAACTTCTCTAGAATTTTCTCTTTCAATGTTCCTACAATATTGTGACACGTATACTTTAGAATGAGATAACCTCAGACTTAACTCACAAGTTCCATATCATAAATAAGTCATATTGTCATTGTCACCCAGTGATGTCTGAAGAGGTTTCCCCAGAGAGGAGATAGGGGTACCAACTTGCTCTGTGGAATAGGTTCTTGATTCATCAAAGCAAAAGAATATTAGGACACTTCAGTAAGATGCACAGGCCAATTTGTTAGAATTAGGAGCAAAAGAAAATACGGAAGGGACGTTAGCTTTAGGAGGTGAAGGGGGCCCAGCTCTGATGAAATGGATCAGTCTGGAGTTTTATGGATGAACTGGGGTTGGCTAACAACTTGTTGATCTTTATTTCAGTTGTGGTCTGCAGAATGTCTGCAGAGGTCCCTCTCTGTGCAGGGGAAGCTCAGTCTTCATGAGATGATTCTCCTGCTTGGGTCGCTCCCCAGTTCCAAAGACTCTTCCGAAGTTGAGGTGACTAGTTTTGGAGCGATGACTGAATGTTTGAGCACTCACTGAATGTCTTTGTAAATATCTTATCTTGGTGTCTTCAGTCTTGAGAGAAGAGATAAGCTATCAAGAGTTAGGACTCATTAATATTGGATTCATAGCTTCTAGAAGGACACTCCCTCCATGATTAACATGCCTGTATGCAGAGCTGAGCAGGGATTTGACCTAAGCTTTTAGAGAATAAAGTAGAGATAGACAAAATGGCTAAGGTTCTGCTTTCAGTCACCTATTGGTTGTCTTAGTTACGTATCAGGTACTTCTGTTGATTTTGTTGTTGTTGTTTAGGCACAAACAATTTTTAAGTCTTGACTGTCTCTAAAGAAAACACAAATTGTTCTTTTAATGAGTAATAGGTTAAGATCCCAGGATTTTGTCTATCCTGTGTCTCTGACTATGTCAACATGACTTTGGGTAAATTATTCAATCACGACTAGGTTATTAGTGAGGAGGAAATTAGTAAAAATATATGTGAAGTACATGATGTGTTGCCTCATCTATTGTAGGGAATTAAGAAGTAGCATCTGTGGTATTCCTTGTTTGTTGGTCTCTGTTCCTTGTGAATAATTTTAAAACAACCACAAAATACAGTTGTCTTCTTTTACAATCTGTTAAAAAGAAATAATATACTTTCAGCATGCTAACCTTCTCACGCAGTCTTTTCTTAGAGTTTCCTAAATGTTTCCTTTTGTAAAACAGATATGCCAGATTTTCCAATTTGGATTATAGACTGGCAAAATAGTTGGTTTTACTAAATTGATTTGTTTTTCTCTCTCAGTTTCCTATTTATTAATTAAAGTATGCATCACAATAAATTTTTATTACAAGATCAATTTAAAAATTGTTTAATATTATCTTTTCTAATTTTTTAATTTTTTGCAAGTGTTATAAATAAGACAACTTAACAAATTTACTTTTCATATAAAAATATTAGCAAATTAATACAGCAATTTAACACAATCTTTTCTCTTCTTTTTTTAAAAAATATAATATTATTGTTGCTGTTGCTGTTGTTATCTTGTTTTTAGGACACAGTCTACAGCGTCTACAGGGTCTCTCTATACAGGTCAGACTTGTAGTGATCCTCCTGTTATCAGCTTCCCAAATGCTGAGATTACAGGCACCCACCACAATGCCCACTCTCAATCTCCATCTCAGTGCATGCTGGGGGTGGAGCCAGTACAGCACACCAGGGATCAAATCCTGGCCACTGTGTTCTGCCTAAGCAGGTGCTTTAATTATCTGAGCTATCTGGCCAGTCCCACAATCTTTTCTTAATCAAAACTAAAAAAACATACTGCTTGTTATTCTTCCAAGTCATGAAGTATGTAGATCCGTTGGTAAAAGAGTAGAACATTCATGAGTTGTAATACACCTTGGTGTGGTATTGAATTTTTCTGAATCTGGAAATAAATATCATTCAGAAGTGGATGAGTTCATTTGGTTACAGGCAGTAAGGCAGGCTGCTGAGCAGCAATGGCCTTGTTTTGTACCAAGAATGACAGTGGAGATTTAAGTGAAGTACAGTGTGAACAGAGCCACTGAAAGGAAAGCAAGTGGTGAAATACAAATACGTATCTGCAGAACACTGAGCAGTCTACCTAGATCATACACTCCGTACAGAAACGTTTCACAGAAAATGAGGCTGTATCGAAATGAAAGTCTAGTTTTAGGTAAGTTTGAAAATGAAGTGAAAACTGGAACATTCCTACTAATGACTAACTAATGAAGACTCCTGAAAATAATTTGGGGTTTTAAAAAGTTTAAAATTAGTTGGAGTACTAGGAGTCTGCTTCTTTTTTTTTATTATTTATTTTTGTAATTCGTTATAGGGTCTCACTATACATCTTGGACTCGTGGTGATCGTCCTGTTTTCAGCCTCCCCAGCGCTGGGATTACAGGCGTGCACTACCATGTCCAGACTCATTTGCTGGCTCAGCACACCTTGGAGGCAGGGCCTCCATGGCATGTGGGACCAGGGATCTAACCCTGCTCCCTATGCTTGCCAAAGCAGGCGCTTAGTCCTCTGAGCTATCTCCCTGGCCCCTGAGTCTGCTTTTAACTTGTCAAAAAAGATTACTTTGGGTTATCAAAAGGACAAAAATGAAATAGTTTATTAAATTCC